ACAACAGACTAATTTTTAGTAATTCATTAATTTGGCTTTATGATGGAGAAACTAAAGCCTTGGTACGTTATACCTTTAGACGTCTTGCAAGCTCATTAGCATGCAAAATGTTAGCAAGCTTCGATTCCATATGGGCTAGCCATAGCTTTCCAAACCTGTTATTTTCGTATATAAAAGGGTTAATCCATATAGTACGCAAGAAAAATATATAATTTTTCCCCTAAAAATTATAGAAAAAATAGATATTTCATGAATAATACTGATAACAGGGTCAATATGAGAGAGAATAGAGATAGAAGAATAGACTCAAGGAAGCGAAGAAAAGCCAATGGAGAGAGAAACACAGAGAGAGAAATAGAAAACCTAAGAAAGATAAACCAGTGATTCCAAATTTCTAATATTCATTCACTATTGCCTGAATTGAAATCACAATGCTATTATATTTATAGGCAAATGATCAAGCAAAGAAATAGAAAAACAAAACCATAACAAAAACTAACCAAAACAAAATAAGAAAAACTTGATTTATGGGAAACTTAACCTATTTTCATAATAACATAAATTCTTAATTAAATAGAATCTTAAATATTAAAATAATTGGTGTGATCTCTAATAATACCAGTTTTGATTATTAGTACTCTTTATTTCACAATCACAAATTCCAGTGATCACATTAGATTATTGTGCAAGTTGTTATTGTAAAATGAAAAATAATAATCAAAACTAGTAATATTCATGAATTGTCTTTTTTTTATATATAAATAATTTGCAAGTTGTTGTTGTGTATAATTTGTTGACTGTTGATAATTATAAAAATGACTCTCAAATCTAATGACACATAAAAAAATCAAATTCAAAGGTATTCATGAAATATTTTTAGTGCAATTATTCACATGGTACCAGTAATCACATTAGATTATTATGCAAGTTGTTATTGTGAAATGAAAAATAATAATCAAAACTAGTAATATTCATGAAATGTCTTTTTTTTATATAAATAATTTGCAAGTTGTTGTTGTGTATAATTTGTTGACTGTTAGTAATTATAAAAATGACTCTCAAGTCTAATGACACATAAAAAAATCAAATTCAATCGTATTCATGAAATTTTTTTAGTGCAATTATTCACGTGGTTCCAGTAATCACATTAGATTATTATGCAAGTTGTTATTGTTAAAATGAAAAATAATAATCAAAACTAGTAATATTCATGAAATGTCTTTTTTTATATAAATAATTTGCAAGTTGTTGTTGTGTATAATTTGTTGACTGTTAGTAATTATAAAAATGACTCTCAAGTCTAATGAGACATAAAAAATCAAATTCAATGGTATTCATGAAATGTTTTTAGTTCAATTATTCACGTGGTTCCAGTAATCACATTAGATTATTATGCAAGTTGTTATTGTGAAATGAAAAATAATAATCAAAACTAGTAATATCATGAAATGTCTTTCTTTTATATAAATAATTTGCAAGTTGTTGATGTTGTTGTTGTGTATAATTTGTTGACTGTTGGTAATTATAAAAATGACTCTCAAGTCTAATGACACATAAAAAATCAAATTCAATCGTATTCATGAAATTTTTTTAGTGCAATTATAAAGAAATTAATATAAAAAAGCACAATATGAAAAGCACAATACGTGTCACTTTCAATTATAAGCACAAGTACGAATGATAAACATGTGTTTTTGTTCATTGAAGACAATCTGATATTTTGTACAATAATAATCACGGATTTTTTATGGTATTCCTTTCTTTTTAAGAATATCAATGCTTTTTACTTTTTAATTATTAAATTTATATTAAAATTTATTTATTTTACATATTTTTTTAATTTAATGTATTTTAACTTAATGTATTTTAACTAAATTTAATAACTAAAAAAATAAAGAACACCGACATTTAAAAAAAAAAAAAAAGAAGAAAAGAGAAACTCCTTAATTAGCTAATAGTAAGAAATGGGTTATTGTAGTTGTACTTTTTTTGTAATCTACTGTGGTTGTAGTTGTACCTGATCAAAATTGTTACCTTTTTCAAAAAAAAAAATAAAAAATAAAATAAATGTGTTACCCAGAAGGATCGTTAATTTTTTCGAATCGGATTCCTTCACGGCAAGTTAAGCGGTGAGCTGCTGAAGAGACGTTTACAATTCTTCCTTCTTTTCCACTTTCACTTGTTGTTTTCTTCATTTTGTCCAATAAAAGATTTGTGAGGAGAAAATGACCTAGCAGATAAGGAAAAGGAAAAAAAAATTATAATCACATATAATGCAGATTTTTAGAGTGCTTCTTTAAATTACTTGCACTAGAATGGAAAATGTTGCAGCACTAATCGGAACACCACAATCATCTTATTATAATCTAAAATTATTCGCATGAAACCTTGTAACAATTTGCAGATATTCTCTTAGGAAAATTTTTAAACCCATATTCATAATCTTTAATTTGAGAATAATTTCATCACTAACCACAAAAAATGGACAATGTTATCATTATTTTTGGTATATTTGCAAAATAAGTACCTAAATGGTTTGTTGCAAACTGTAGCTCGATGTTGTCTTTGGAAAGCTTGAAGTTGGGAATTGTTATTCCTGCATTGTTTCTTTACAAAAAAAAAAAAAGACACCCAAAGTGATCGTATACTTGTCATATAAATTTCTTGAATATAAGCTTACAAGACTGATTCAAAGAATTAGTTCCACCTGCTTTTCAATCCAATTCTTACATTAAGATATTGAGAGGAAGGCCAGAGGAATGGAAATCTGATGCAAATTTCCTCACAGAAGAAAATGAACTGAGATCCAATTCCATAACATCAACTTTAGCAGTGGGGATTTCCTTAAGTATTGCTTCTTTGACATCTCTACCAGCAGACACATTTCTTACAGCCATTATCACGTGGACACCGCGCAACGCAAGAACTCGTGTCGTTTCGGCGCCAATCCCGCTAGATGCTCCTGTGATCACATCATGAACAATCCATCTTCATATGATAGACCATAAAATTTACTAACTTGTTTGTTCACTTTACCTCTATGATGCAACACAAAACATGAATTGGGACTAATATTTTAAACCTGTAACTATGGCGGTAAGACCGGTCCCGTCAATCCCTTGAGTAACTTTCTCTGCAGTTGAAGATGACGAGAACCCAGATGACCCATTTCTAAACGGCCACATTGGTTCTTTGTTTAATTGCTTCTATGAATGTCTAAAATAAATCTCTCACTCAACAATTCAATTCAATTCAATTTAAAGGATTAGTGTTGTTAAAAGTCAATTGTTAAAGATATTAATAATTGACTTATTACTTATTTTTACATTCACATCAATTATCAATTTAGGAGCTGAAGATGAACACCTACATCAATAATCACGTTCTTAGCGGTTCTTTATTAATCACTAATAGTTAATTAGTTTGGTCAACTTAGTGCACTAACTTTCTAGATACGTGACGTAGCATATCTTATCATATATGAAATAGACGGTTTGCTTAATTGTGGGAAAGTGATGAGTGAGTTTTACTCGCTCATTTGGTATCGTTTTATACTTAATATCTAGTTGGTTTCGAGGTTTTTGTTAGTTTTTATGTGTTTTCGTTCTTTGTTTGAAGGATAGGTGGAAGTCTATGATTTAGAAGGTTTTGGACAAATTTCGGTGGAAAAAGACAGCAATCATAGCGCTTAGGCGCCAATCTGTAGCGTCTTGGCGCTGAGTTATACGGAATCAGCAATTTGGGCAGAACTGGTGGCGCTTTGGCGCCAGTTTGTAGCACCGCGGTGCTGAAATCCGGCAGAATGGGCAGCGCTTAGGTGCCCATTACAGCGCCGCAGTGCCCAGGAGTTTGACACAACAGCGCCACAGCGCTAGAAACTTAGCGCCGCAGCACTACGACGCGAGAAATTACGCGTTTTGAAGGCCAATCGCGAGAAAATTGACCCGTTAACGCTCCGAAACATATAAATAGATGATTCTAGGGCAATTAGAAGAGACTTTTAGACTGTGGAATGACGGCTGGCTTTTGAGAGAGTATTCAAGAGAAGAAAAGGAGAATTGGGACGGAGAAGAAGAACGGCTCAAATCCGGAGACGGAGACGCTTCAATTCAACTCTAAACTAGTTCTTTTCTTTCCTTTCCAATGATTAAGACTTTGTTTAGGAATTTATTTTGTTTAGAGATGAACTAATTCCTTTTTCTAGGGCTACGATGTAGCCGGATTATGAATGTTCGAATTCTCAATCTTCTTTTTAAGTAATTGATGTTTAATCCATATATGTTGAGTATTTCAATTTATTCTTAATGCTTGTGATTGTTTGGCCAACTATTACATGATTTTGTATTTGATTTGAGATTGAGAGGTGATAATTGAATAAGCTCTTAATTGAAATACCATGAGTTGTTCATAGGATAGAGATATATATGATGCTTATGCAGTTCTTTTGAATTTCTTGCACTTAATGATTTTCAACAGGTTTAGAAGTCTGATAGAGATGTAGATTTTACTTGTTGAATTAATATTATTGTTGCTTGAGAAAGAATAATAATTGCTTTAGAGAAATTGCTGTCAGTATAGGATTGAATGTTAATTTTCTTGAATTATGGGAATTTGAACATGATTAATTTGGTGAAATCGGAAACCCTAGAATCTTAATCTATTGAATTTTCATCCATTGCTAGCATTGTTTAATTTATTTAATTGTTTTAGTTTTACTTTACTTAATTTTATAAACTCTCTTTACAAGTATTCAAATAAAATTAGGGTTAATATAATTTCTTTGTTTTTACTAATATCGATACCAAATAACTCTAGATTTACTTTGAATTTTATTTTGTTATTTATTTTCTTGTTCTTGTTTAGTGCTCTGCAGGAGTTTACTTTACCTGCATGCAAAAGCTTGGGAGCAACAATCTACTACCTCTGGATTTAGAAATTGAGCGTACCTGTCGAAGAAACCGAAGAGAGAAGAGAGAAGCTGTCATCAGTTGCCAGAAGTGATGGCTAATCCTGAAGGAGAAATAAATGGGAATAATCAACCACTGAACAATCCACCGGTGGTCAATCAGCCAATGGCTTTGCGAGATTATGCATTGCCACCAACCGGTGTTCAATTAGTGATCAGGAAGCCTGCTATTCAAGCGAATAATTTTGAATTGAAGTCGGTGATGTTACAGATGATTCAAGCAATCCAATTTAATGGATTGCCGAATGAAGATCCTAATGCTCACATCATAAATTTCTTGGAGATTTGCGATACTGTCAAATACAATGGAGTTAATGATGAAGCTCTTCGCCTTCGTTTGTTTCCTTTCTCTTTGAGAGATAAAGCAAAAAGTTGGTTGAACTCACTGCCGCCAAATTCGATCACTAGTTGGGAAGACTTAGTTCAGAAGTTCCTTTCTAAGTTTTTCCCACCGGCTAAAACAGTGAAAATGTGCATCGAGATCAACAATTTTGCTCAATATGAAGGTGAAACTCTATATGAAGCATGGGAGAGATACAAGGAGCTGATGAGAAGATGTCTTCATCATGGTCTACCTAAATGGATGCAAGTCCATAATTTTTATAATGGATTGAGTGGCACTACAAGAACTCTAATTGATGTATCTGCAGGAGGAGCGTTAATGAAGAAAACTGAAGATGAGGCATATGAGTTGCTAGAAGATATGGCAACCAATAATTACCAGTGGCCTAGTGAAAGAAGCATACCAAAGAAGATAGCTGGACTACATGAAGTTGAGGCCATCACTAATTTGACTGCCCAAATTGCTTCTCTGTCCAAACTTACAGAGTACTCAATTGACAGCCAATGCCATCCAAACATCCTCTCCAGTGTGTGAGTTTTGCAGCGGATCTCATCAAGGTTCTGAATGTCAAGCTGACAACCCTTTTGCATAGGTACAAATGGAGCAGGCTTAATATGTGAGAAATTTTAATAGGCAACAGAACAAGCCTTACTCCAACAGGTTTAATCAAGGATGGCGTAATCACCCAAACTTATCTTGGAGAAACACTCAAAATGTGTTGTAGCCCGAACAGAGCAACCCACCACAAGAGGAGAGGGTGAATCTAGAAGATGCAATAGCTCAATTGGCTACCTCTCACATGCAATTTATGAATGAAACCAGGACAAATTTTCAGAATCAATCGGCTCAGATCAGAAGCTTAGAGGTGCAAATTGGTCAATTGGCTAGCATGTTAAATGATCGTCAACAAGGTAATTTGCCAAGTACAACGGTGGTGAATCCAACAGAGCAATGCAAGGCCATTACTTTGAGAAGTGGAAAAGAATTAAATACACTCCCAGAGCCTAAGAAGTCTAGCAAAAGTAGTGAAGAGGCTTCGTCACCCAAAGATACTCAATCTTTAGAGAAGAGTGGTGAAATTCCTACAGCTCAACAACCTTTGCTGGTGGAGCCATCACGAAGGATCCCATTTCCTCAACGCCTTCGGAAGAGTAAGCTTGATAAACAATTTTCAAAGTTTCTAGACATCTTTAAGAAATTGCACATAAACATCCCATTCGCCGAAGCTCTTGAACAAATGCCGAGCTATGTGAAGTTTATGAAAGACCTCTTGTCAAACAAGAGGAAACTTGAGGATTATGAAACAGTTACACTTACTGAAGAGTGCAGTGCCATCTTGCAAAGGAAGTTGCCTCAGAAGCTCAAAGATCCAAGGAGTTTTACCATCCCTTGTTCTATTGGAAATTCTATTTTTGAAAAGGCACTATGCGATTTAGGTGCAAGCATTAATTTAATGTCTTTGTCAATTTTCAAGAAACTTGGGCTCTCATTGATGTGCAAAAGGGTGAACTTCGCCTAAGAGTACAATAGGAGGAGGTGATTTTCAATGTATTTAATGCTCCCAAATACCCGCAAGCTAGTGATAGTTGTTTTAGAATTGAAATAATTAACACCTTGGTCACTGAGCATCTTGGCCAACCTCAAGTGCCTTTGGAAGCTTGTCTAATTTATCCAGAAACTATTGCAATAGAAGATCATAAAGCTATGGAATTTGTGCACTGAATGGATTCTTTCGGACCTAACAATCGGAGGTACTTTGAAGTTGTGGGACGAGGCCCATCACGCCCTCTTCCATCAATTGAGAAACCACAGCTGCTTATTGAGATGGATGAGTTCCGTAATGATGCATATGAGAAAGTCAAGATTTACAAGGAGCGAACTAAGGCTTGGCATGATAAGCACATCTCAAGAAAAGAGTTCAGGCCGGGCCAACAAGTGTTGCTATATAATTCAAGGTTGCGTTTATTTCCAGGAAAGCTCAAGTCCAGATGGTCAGGGCCATTTACAGTGGTGAGAGTATTTTCCTATGGAGCAGTTGAAGTTACTCATGATGCAAAAGGAACGTTCAAAGTCAACAGACAACGTTTGAAGCAATATATTAATGGTGGCTTTGATCAAAAGAAGACCAACATTCTCTTGAACTCACCATGAGAAGCAAGACGTCGGGCTGATGACGTTAAACCAAGCGCTTCCCGGGAGGCAACCCGAGCCTTCTAACATCTTTTATTTATTATTATTATTATTATTATTATTATTATTATTATTATTATTGTTATTAGTTTATTCTTAGTTTACTTATTATGTTTTAAATTGATTGATAGGTTAATAAACAAGTTTGGGGGTTGCTCTAAGAATTTACAATTGAAATGAAGCTCAAGAATGCATGAAAGCATGGATTGGGCAGCAGCAGTGGCGTTTTGGCGCCCATCTGAGCGCTTTGGCGCTCAAAATAGAGTGTTTCAGGGACAGAGCACGTAGCGCCTTGGCGCTACCTCCAAAAAAAAAAAATCTTGCAACTTCCGCACCTCCTCTTGCACCCAATGAAGACACTGACTGACAACTACTCAGGGAAGTCCTCTGCACTCTTGTTTTACTTTTCCATTGAGGACAATGTTAGTTTTAAGTTTAGGGGAGTTAACTATCTCATTATATGTCGTTTAATTCAAAAAAAAAAAAAACCTTGAGCTTTGGTTCGGCTTGTTTCACCCCAGCCGATGATGAGACAACGATTGAACTTAACTATGGCTTTTGGGAGACAATGAATAATTGGATTGTTTGTGTGCTTGACTTGTTTGTTGGTTTTACTCTACTTATGATTTCCTTACATTGTTGAGCACATAATTAAGAGCACTTGACCATGTTGTGAACTTAGAGAAAGTTTATGTGATTTTCATGTTTCTGGGGATCTCACCGGATTCTAGAACTTGTTTGATTATCACTCGAGGCGAAATCCCAGGCAATTTATCACTAACGAAATGATTTAGGCCATTTTTGGATCGTTTGAACCGTTTGAGCTTACCCTGTTACAATAATATCCCTAGTCACCTCTTTGAGCCTGTTTAAACTTTTCTTTGTCATCCACATTATAAGCCTAGCCTTTAAATAAATCCTATCATTCACCCTTTCCCTTGAGCTTGTTGATTATTCTAGGATGCACGTTGAGTTGTGTTTAGAATTGGGAGGTGTATGGATATTTTCTATATTCTGTTTGTTGTCTCCAATGAAATTCTGTATCTGTCGTTTAATTCCAAAAAAAATGAAAAAAAAATGAAAAAAAAGAGAAAGAAATAAAGAGTGGAGACAAGAATGTTGATGGCAAATGGCGGATATATTTGAGAGATTGAATTAGAAGTTCTACAAGAAGATCCTAAAGTAATTGATGAGTTTAGGGAATTCAGAGCCTCATTGATATCCGTTTATCCTACCTTAATCCCTAGCCATTCAATTCAAGCTTAATAAAGTCCTATTTGTAATGACTGAGAAAATTTCAGACCTTAAATAATACAATTCATGTATTTTTAAGCCAAGGATTTTCTTAGAAAATATTAAGTTATATTGTGAATGGAGGATTTATGGAATTAATATATGTATTCCTAAATTCTATAGCAAATTTCATGTTAAGTTCATGTTTCGATCAAGTAAATTCGATCGATAAATTCTCGCCGTATTTTAAGGCGGAATAATTTTCAGTACAAGTATAGTTTGAGAATCTTAATTTCAAGAATCTCCAAGCACAGCACGATGTTAGCGGCGTATAAAAAAAATGCACTGACATTTTAAAAGAAGAAAAAAATCCTTAATTGCCAGACAGTTAGGTTAAAGTCACAAGATAAATACCTATAGTAGATGGGTACAATATGAGCTCGGGAGTTGACACTGTCAGAAACGTCATTCTCGGGATAGAATGCAGAAAAGTAAAATTTAGAATTTGTTCAGTCTAAAATTAATTTCAAGACTTGAAACAGTTTAAAATATTACGCGAGTAAGAATATAAAACAATATTGAATTATTCAGAAATTAATATTGGACTGTAAGTAGTAGATTAACTTACGTGAGCTAAACTAATTACCTCTAATTAGTATAAATTTAATCTGTTTAGAGGAAATAATTGAGGATAAGATCAAGCACGTAATCTTGCCTTAATCAGATACTTTATATAGTGAAATTTTTAGGGTTCTTGCACTTTCTTTCTCTTATTCTCGCTCATTCTCTCTCTCCTCTCACGTTCTCTCTCACACAAACCATCAATGGCCAAATACTCAAGTTAAGATTCCGACCTCCATTTTTGACCCCGCCGGTGTCAATAGAAAGATCTCGACGAGCTGAGTTCAACGACATGCGGCACGACCTCCAACCCCGCCGGAATCAGCCGCAATCGCCGGCGGAAGTTCCGAAAATACCAATTTCTTCCCGTCGTGATATCTCCGTCATCCGACCTCCGATTGAGATGATTTCAGTCCCTATGGACTCAGTGCAGCGAGACGAA